TCAAAGAATAAATCTGGGTAGTCAAAAAATTTTGGGTTTTAAGTAAAATAATTTCGTCTTCTATGAAAAACTATTTCGACTTTTTTTCCCGAAATTGTAATTTCGGGGCTCCAAAATAATTTTGCGTGCAAGTATAGCCCGAATGTTAGGATCGACACAAGAGCAAAAAGAATTTTGCCACGAACTTATTTGGGATCTTGTAGATCTTGCGAATGATACCGCGGAAGTTCAATTGAGAGTTGGCTCAAAAAGAAAAACAAAAGAAATAAAAAAAGAAACAAAACGGCCAAGAGTGACAAAAAATTTTGAGCTTTCAAATCGACAATTGGCACCTGAAAATCATTTCCCGGAATGGAGAGAGAAACGAGAAGCATGCCAATGGTGCATTTGATTGACAAACGAAAAAAAATTGGATATAGATCGTAAAACGCCATATCAAAGTTAACTTTGGTGTGTAGCTTGTAATGCACCTCTCTATTGTAATAATAATCAGAATTGTTTTATTGGTTTTCATACTTTATAATAAGAAAAGATTTAATGGTAGACTTTTTTTTTGAATTAAAAATTGTGTATATATTTTTATGAATTTCTTGAAATAATGAATAATCTAAAATTTCGCAAGAAAACAAACAAAAAAAAAATTTAATTGTATATATTTATAAATAAATAGTTTTTAGAATTTTTTTTAAAAAAAATTTATTTATTCATTTATCAGTTTATTGATTGAAAATGCCCTAAATTAATTTTTAAATAAAAACGTTAATTTAGCTGACCTAATTATCATGATAATTCAAAATTTTATTATAGATAAGTACCTATATTACATAGTAATTTTTGTTTGTTACGATATGAAGTATACAGAACTGAATTGCCAAGAATTTTTATAAGATTGGTCATTCGGGATGCTTCGCGGCCAAAACATATCAAATTTCACATGACTCAAATTTGTGCACTTTTTTTGAATCACATATCAAATGTCACGATGTAGCTGCGGAGTTATTATGTACCCTTCACTTCTGGAAATCACCCTAGTCAATTTAAATTATCCCATTTATATAAAAAATTTTTTGTAGGGGATAATTTTTCAAAATTATTTAAGCAGGCAAATTTGCCCACTAAAATGTACGGTTTAAGGGATAGAGAAGGTTCATTGTAGTTAAATTTCGAATAGATAAAAAATTTTAAAATGATAATTTTTCCTCAATTTTGATGATATAGGTCTGTTATTTTAATATAACATGTAATTAATTTCTGTCTTTGAGGTTATTTAATAACATTTTTGATATTTACTTATGATATAAAAAGTTTTATATATAGCAACGATCGATAATTTTGTATATAATTATTATAATTATATATAATAATAATTATATAACATGACTTTAAATAGTAAAAATTAAATAATTAGATTAGTCATATATATTAATAAAAATAATAATTTATTATACATAGTTCAATAATAATTTATATATGGATACTCTAAATGTCAAATCATGTCAAATCATGTGATCTGAGAGATTTTAATATAATTATAATTATATACAAAATCATTGATCATTACTACATATAAAACTTTCTATATTATAAGTGAACGTCAAACCTGTTACTAAGTAATCTCAAATATAAAAATTATTTACATATTATATTAAAAGGATAGATCTATTTCATCAAAATTGAGCGAATAATTGTTATTTTAAATTCTTTAAATATTCGAAATTTAACTATCAATTATTGTCTCAATTTTGATGATATAGATCTTAGTTTTTTAAAGAAGATGCACATTATTCTCACCTTTGAGATTACTTAGTACTGTTTTTAATATTAACATATAAAATAAAAAATTTTATATGTAGTAACTATTGATAATTATTGTCGATTTTACATTATCCATCAACCTGATGGGGCCGATGGTCAACTTGAGACTTATCAACATCATTCGACCCCATCTACTTAGATGGCTTGGTCCGGTCTAGGTCAAATGGCCCAATAAAATATCCTTTAGAATTATATTAAGGAAAAAATAATTATGGGACATTTATTCATATGCTATATCTAATCGATTAATCATTACTTACATTAATTAGGCATAGCCGATTTACTAATGTCTTTTTCTTTCTATAGTCATCCCAATACTGAATGATAAAGCAAATGATTTTAAAAATAGAATCAAAAAAAAAAATAATAATAATATAGATTTGCCAAATACATTGAACATTGCGAATAGTGATAAATTTTGGCCGATCAGCGTAACCTAATGAAAAATAAGCTTCGCCTTCACAATTTATCAGAATGGCCAATTTTTATAAAGTTTATACATAGACCCGTGCGATGCGTGGAATCATATAAATTCCATATAAATTGGTAGATCGGGCTTTATTGGGCCTAAAAATATCTTCGGGTTTTGGTTTGGGTTATCCTTTCAAAAAAGATCAGAAATAAAACAAATGATCTATAATTCTTAGTATCTTTATCTGGTTTCCTATTCTATATTCATTTTCTTTTCACTGCATGCATTATTATTGTATATATGTAGATCATAAATCTAGTAATAAAAAACCTGGAATACTAATATAAATTGGCACACTCTGTTATTGCCGTCACGAGTTTTGTTTACATATTAAAAGCAATATATAATATAGAAATATTTCTCGAAAAAATTAATTTGTTTCACAACTCAATATCGACTATTACTTTTATTATAAAAATTTTTGTTTAATACTTCAAAAATGTGATTATATCAGAAGCAAGGTTTCTTTCAGCATGGTTCTATCAAAGATTTCTTTAAAGTGAGTTCAAATAGTCAGGTAATTAAATTTGATCAGGCTCAAAATCAAAAATATTTTTAGGCGAAAGTTCCGAACTCGCAAATAAGATATTAATAATTCAGTTGTGACTATTTATAATGAATCATCTTCTGAGCTTACAAACTATTCCAGGAAAATTAACCACAATCCGGTTTATTTCTTATCAAATTTCTGAATAGAATAAAATGGTACAAATTCGAGTTTTCTTTACATATCAAAAAATAAAAAAATCTTGCTTCGAACCATATCTCCACCATAAGGACAAAGTAATGTTATCAACTGTATAGTCGAGTATTGATTCACGGATCATCAATTAAACAAAAATAAAGTTTTCTAAAATAATAAATTATCAATTTCCTTTTTTTTTCACTTTCTTTTTCTTCTAGCTTCATTTGGATTTCTACGCCCATAACCTATTACAGGAGGTCCACTATATTTTAATGACGATGGTGAATTAGATTTGATAAACAATTCAGGAATATAATCCGGATCAAATATATCTATCCTTTTTTGTTTACGCTGCAATTTTAATGCTTTTTGATATTCTTTTTGATCTTCACGAAGAATAAGATTATTAGCGTGACGACCACCTTTTGGTTCTGGTATGGAATACTAATAATAATAAAAAATTGTTACTATTATCAAAAAAAAAAATAAAATAAAATAAATTATATAAAATATATGTTTATTTACCTTAGTTCCACGTAATTTATATTGAAAATTCTTTTTCAGATAATATATCACGTTACCGTTCTCATCAGTACTAGTACTGGTACGAATCAAAGTCGCATTACCACAACTAGGGCAAAACTGTTTTTCCATATCATTAGTGACTCTAATTTATATTCAATATTATTAATAATAATATTATTATCCAACGTTTTAGTTTGATCAGCCGAAAATTATGAAAATTAAAAGAGTAATCACATACTTGAAACAAGCGTGACACCTAAGAACCCAATTCTTTACTTTATTAATCTTTATTCCTTCGACAGTTACTAAATTCAATCGCATTTGTAACAAAACGTTCTATCAAACAAAAATAAATAATATAATATAATAAATCAATATATTAAATAAATAAATAAATAAATAAATAAATATAATAAATAAATATAATAAATAAATTAACATACTTGCATAGTGTAATCTGTTGTTATACAAGCTACTTTCATGTAGTGATTTCTTTTACTTTTTGCTTTTATATTACGTTTTTGTTCTTTATAATTCTTAATATTATCGGGTGTTATCCATTCACCATCACCATCATAATCATCTTTTTCATCATCATTTTCATCATTTTCATCTTTTTTTTCATCTTCTTTTTCATCTTTTTCTTTATCTTGAACATTTAAAGATTCAAGAGTATTTTCTTGTGACGTTATAATTCCAGTTTCATTTATATCTAAATCATTATTATTTGATGAAACTTCAATATTGTTATTATCATCGTTTGTTATCAATGTTTCAGGAATTTCATTGTTACAACTCTTGCCGTCATCTTTAGAATCATTATAATCATTTGCATTTTTTTTTGAAAGAGTTAGATTTTCCATATTCGATACAATGTCGTTTTGAATTTTATCATTTTCGTGTAAATCATCGTTGTCACTTTTTTTGACATTATTTCCATTATCCACGCTATTCTCATTATTCTTAACTTGCCCAGTTTGTCCACCTTTCCTAGCGAAAGACTAAAAAAAATAAAACATTTAAATACATTATTTATATTTGATATTTTTTGAAATTATTATATTTTATCATTTATCGCATGATATTACTTTGAGAGGTTCTTTTCTTAAACGTTCTTTTCCATTGGCTTCAACTTCAAGCATATAAGTCAATGCTAAAACTCTCAAATCAACAGCTGATAAACTAGGAAAATCTCCAGATTTTTTTGAAAAATTTACGACTAATTAATTAAAAAAAATAATAATAATTGAAGAATTATCCTCAAAAATCACATATTCAAAGCATTTAAAAAAATTAAAATTAAAATTCATATTAAACCTTCTTTCAAAGATTCTTCATTTGGACTTTTAATTTCGATATCATATAAAATTTGATTTAAAAAGTCACGAGAATGTTTATCACGAATTTCTGATATCACTTCCGGAATTGTATATATTTTATTAGCCAAAGGACGAATGTTTGCACCTTTGATCAAGGGACCTGAATCAACTACTAAAGATTGTAATTTTGAAATTTTTTTATCACTGATATCTGACATTTTTGAAGAAAGAGATAAGATAATGGAGATCGATTTGATCATTTTTGGGATCGGAACATATATCGGGTCTTACTCGAGTGAAATTTATAATTATTGTAGTCTACTGATTGAAATAAAAAAAATAAAATGTATAGACAATCAATATACGAACAACCCGCCGAGGAATTAGCAAGTATTGTCTCTAATAATGCCCCCCTTTTTATATTAGATAACTTGTATAAATTTTTAATTATATAATAATAATAAAATATATTGTATACTTTTTTATTTGAAAAGTTTTGAAACATTATGGACTTGATACTTTATATCCGGAAGTTTGGGTAGAGGAAAATGATAATAGAAAATCTACCAGATTTTCTATTATCGAGGGACCAGGTCAACCTGTCAATGGTAATAATACCGCATCAGGAGACGAAAGGTTTAGTTGGGATGATTCTGATCCTCTTGGTTTAAAACCGAATGTTTTTTGGTAATAATAAATTCAAACATAAATATTACATAGTTAAATATATATATATATATAATTAATTAATTTTAATTTTCTATTCATTTTTGAATCTTTAATTAATCCAATTTTTTTTTTTAGGAATGATCCATTACCTCCTAAAACTAACAATAATCAAGAACTTTATGAAAATATCAAAGAAAGTAAATAAAAATTTATTATACGATAAACTTTCAAAAATTTAATATTTGAATATATTAATTAATTAAATGAATAATTTATAATATTTATAAATATTTAGAATCACAATTACTCGTTTGCACCAAATCATTTTATCCCAAATTATTTTTACGTCGAGTTCACAAGGATACACCTTATGATGATTTAGCGATAGGAGCACAAACTTTAAGATATACTTTGGATCAAAAATCAGAAGCACTTCGAAATTTGGTGCAAGATAATTTTGATAGATTTGTTAGTGCTAAAACTACTATTGATACTGTTTATGGTGAGATGAAAGCAAAAAGTTTAAATAAAGAAAGTGAATATGGAGTTAAAGGATTAGATAATGCATTATCTGGTAATTATTATATTTATTATTATTTATTATTATTATTATTATTATTATTTATTATTTATTATTATTATTTATTATTATTATTATTCATAATTTATTTATTTAATAAATTTATTTAGAGGCTTCTGATAAAGCTGATCAATTATTTGGTCCAGTATTAGCTAATAGAAAAAAAGCCGAAAAAATACGTAGTACATTAAGTCTCTTGGAAAAATATAAATTTTTCTTTAATCTACCAAGTAATTTAATGGAATCTATAAAGCAGGTGAAAATCTAATATTTAATATTTATAATCTAATCTTTAATTATATTTAATAATTATATTCCAATATTTATTAATATTTAATATTTAATATTTATAAATTTCATTTAGCAAAAATATGATATAGTAATAAGAGAATATAAAAAAGGAAAAATTGTACTTGAATCAACCATGTCAACTACTTCTACTAATAATAATACTGAATCAACAACAGTAACATCATCTACCACTGCAACTTCTGATAATAATTCCATAGAAAGAGAAACAACAGAAGATACAGCACTTGCTGCACAATATAGAAAAGTTTTTGATAAAGTTTGGGCTGAAATTGAAAAAATAATGGAAGAAATGAAAGATCAGTTATTTAAACAATTGACAGAACATTGGAGATCAATGGAAGAACAAGAGAAAATTATTAAGTAAAGAAATTTATATATTAATCTCTTTCTATCTTATCTTTATTATATTATTAAATCTAATTGAATTTTATATCTTTAGCATTTTACTTGAATTAGATACAGTTGAGGATCCAGTCTGGCATTATTTAGACAGTCAATATAAATATATTATAGATCTTCTCAAAGAATCTTATTCTGAACAATTAGATAAGATAATTGGTTTGTTATTATCATTTTATTATTATAATTTTTTTTATAATTGTTATTTATTAACCAAACAATTTCTTTAAAATAAAATATAGCTTTGAAGAAATCACTTCAAGTAACTTCAGCAGATCCCAAGGAACTTGCATTGCGTCTTAAAAAGGCAATTCGAATAGTCAATATAAGAGATTTTGATGCATTATCAGGCAAGGAATTATTTATAATTTCTTTAATAACAATATCTAATAATAATAATAATAATAATAATATATAAATAAATAATTAGCTAGTAAAGACATGGATGTACAAATATGGAAGGCAACATTAGAAATTGTTAAATCTTTATCAGATTTACTATTAAGATGTTTACCTGACTTTTGGAAACTTAGTAAATCATTTATAGAAGGGAAATTCCAAAAGGTTTTGTCTAAATTATATATATATTATTTATTTATTTATTCTTGCCTTTATTCTGATAATAATAATAATAATAATAATATATTTTTAAAGACTCCCACTATACTAAGTGCTAATAGGCGTAGACGTCAAGCAATGGATCTTAGAAAAGTTGAACAATGTCAAAATATGGCTAAAGGCGTAATCGATCTTTATGCTTCATTATTATCTGAATTCTTTAATCTCATACCTCCCTCTTCTACATATTCATATTCATATTTATCATCACCGGCTTTATTATCACCTTTACCTCAAGATACAAACAGTAACAATAACGCTGATAATTATTTACTTTCATTTGTTCCACCTCAATCAGATTCAGTTACAAGTTGTTACTTTTTAACAAAAGTTCTTCATGAAATGAGCGAATGTGTTAATGATATTAATGCAATTAATATGTCAGCAGATGCATCTGGTGCATTATTTGCTTTAATGGAAAAAACTAGATGGAAATTTGTAGAAATTATATGTGACGCATGGAATTCGGATGCAAAATCATTTTATTTATTAGAAGATTGGACCCTTGATCAAGATAATCGAGAAATTACAAATTTTTTACGAAATTTTCATATATTTCACAAATATAATTCTCGTTGTGCGTATAAAATTGCAAGTTTAGATTATGTTTCTGATAAGGATGATTCTAAAGGTGTAAGTTATCATTAACATTAATAATAGTAATAATAATAATAATAATAATAAGATTGTTATTATTATTTTATTTTATCATTGTTCTCATTTTGAAGTATTAATAAATATTAACTACAAATTTATATTTTTCTCATTTCTAATAAAAAAAAGTCATCTAAGATTACCGATGTATATTTAAAAAAGATTAAAGCTGCATTCCTTGATTCTCTATATTCATATCTGGACGGTTTAGTACATTTAGTATTTTCAGAATATGTTCCACTTGAACCTTCTTCTGATAAAGAATCTATTGATATCATTCATAAATCAAGAATTGATCCAACTTCAATGGTAATTTTTTTTTAAAAAAAAAATAAAATAAAATAAAAATAGAATTACAATAATAATTTTAAATTATTTAAAAAATATCTATTAAAAGTATTTTCTTCTATTTTATTTTTATAAATTAGGATTCTAGAATTTTACTTACTGTTAGCAATTTATCTAATCTTAAGCAAATGATGATTCCGAGGATTGTATCTCAGTTCGAAGGTGCATATAAATGTAATATGTCTGAAGATACTCAAGTATGTCATTTCAAATATATTGTAATTTATATTAGATATGCTTTATATAACACTTTTGATAATCTATAGACGTTAAATGATGTCGTGGATCAATTAGATGGAATATTATTTGAAGATTACATTAAGAGAAAAACAGAAATTGTGCGTGACATCGTGATTAATGGTATTACTTCAGGAGAAATAAATTGGTATAGCATATCTAAACCAACAGGTAATTCATTACTATTTCATATTATTATTATGATGATTATTATTATTATTATTATTCATTCATTCATTTATTTTATTTTTTTTTTTTTCATTTTATTATTATAATTATTCTTCTTTTAGAGGTGCATTCCTTTGTATACGAAGCTTTATTGTCACTTGTATTTGTTCATGCTGAAATTAGTGATATTACAAAACCACTTGTCAATCGGGCATTATCAGTTTTGTTGGAAAATATGGCACTTAATTGCCTTGAAGCTTTTCAGAAAGTTGAAAAGTTTGGTATGGGTGGAATGCTTCAGGTATTATTATTGATTGTTATCTTTTCATTGATTGTTTATTTTTAATTAATGTGATAATATTTTATTTATTATTTTATCATTTATTTATTTATTTATTTAATAGGCAACATTAGAAATTGAATTTATGCATCAAACTTTATCTCAATATGTAACTCCTCAAGCTCAAGAAACACTTCAACTAATTTACACCACTATTGAACAATTATATGATACTTCTCAAGAATCTGGTAATTTAGAATCAGAATTGGGTAGTGTCAAACAATTATTAGTTGAAAGTCGTAAAAATACTAGTTTACAATTTTTATGTTTCAAAAAACCTAAATAATTTTCATTCATTTTTCTACTAATTTTTAATTTAATTTTTATTTTCTACTAATTTTCCTAATTCTAATCTTTTTAGTAAATGTATATTAGTATTTTTTTTTATTATTATTTAAAAAATTTTTTATAGATTTTATTATTTAATTATTTTGTTATTATTTTTATTGTTAATGTTGTTTAAGTTATTCTCTATATATCTTAAATAATATAAATTGATATATATTGATATTTGTGATATATCTATCTATGTATTTTGTATATGTATAAAATACTGTTATTCCATTAATAATAACAAATTTGAATCAATCAATAATAACTGTAATAATTTTTATTTTTTATTTTTACAATCATAAATTCTATTATGTTCAAAATATCAATACATATTATTCATAACAAAATAAAATTTTTTATTAAAAAGAAATATAAAAATGAATTAAATAATATACTGGAATGTTATTAAAATGTGTTATTAAAACATTATTAATAGTTTATTGTAATTAATTATTGTGCCCTTAAAATTCCTATAGGAACTTCATCATCACTAATAATTTCTGGTTTCTCATTTGAATATTCTTCTTCTCTATCTTTTTGACTACCTTTTTCACTATTTTTTTCTGAATTTTGAGATTCTTGATAATCTGATGTACCAAGCATTTCATCTAACACTGAATCATATTGATTTCTTCCTGATTCATAGGTATATTGACTATTTCTACTCCTTCGTTGTTTATATCCTCCTTCAATTGATAATCTTTTAATGTTTTCTAATGGTTCATTATCATCATCATCATCTTCTTCTTCTACTTCAATACCTTTTTGTAAATTATTTACAGTTATTGCTAATGGTAAATTATCATTTGATGATGAATTTGTGGAATCCGTATCTGATTCTATATCATGTTTTTTTCTAGACTTTTTCGATTTTGTCGATTTTCTTGGTGATGATCGACTTTCTCGACTTTCTCGATTTTCTCGTGGATTTGATAAATCTGATGTACGATGATGATCTCTTATGGATTGTTGATCATAATACTGATCAGAAACTTGTCTTGATTTACCACTACGATGTAATTCGTATGGTGGTGGAGATGTTGATTGTGGAAATGATGAAGGTGGGAATAATGGAGTACCTTTAGATCGTTGAGCTGATTGACGAGATCCTCCTCCTGATTTTGTTCTACTTTCATCCGATAATCTATCTCGCGTCCTTAATGATACTGGATGTGATAAATCTAACATTTGCTGTGAATCTCTTGTGTTATATGAAAATTTCCTTTGTACATCAGAAGTATTATAATTAACATCATAAATATCCAATTCTGTTTGATTCCTATCATTTGGTTTATTTTTTGAATTTCTTCCTTTATTCTTCATATTATTATTATATGAAGGATCATATGAATTTGAATCTGAAGGATCATATGATCTAGTATTAATGTCTCTTGTTCTTTTCTTACTTTTTGCTCTATCAAAATTATTTGATGGGGGAATAAATTCTGAATTATCTGTTCCATCAATATTTAAAAGTGTATTTTTAGGTCGTCCACGTGGTGTTGGAAGTGATGAAGGAGCTTGACTTCGTAAAAGTGAATTAGGATTAAAATTATTATCATCATTATTATTCTTACGAAAATCATCATCCCCAAATTGATTACGAGCCGTTGAATTTCTTCTATATACTAAATATCCCACTCCCAATATTACGAGACCAAGCACTACTGCTGCAATAATAACCACATACGTTGGCCATTTTCCTAATGGTCCCAAAGATATTTTACCAGATCTACTATCATCAATGGCAAGATCAGTACAAAATTGTTTTTGACTACATTGATCTCCAAAAATATATACCCTAAAAGATGAAGATGAATTAACTGGTTGTGCTGAATATACCGTGAATTGAATAAAAAAAATTTTATTGTCCCTTGAATCACATTTATATTGTACTGGATTGTCTTGTTCTTTTGTACAATCCACAAATGAAGATGGATTAGTTGGAACATCAAGTATTTGATAATTATCCGGTAAAGTGATAGCTGCTACATAAGCATTATTATATTCCTTCGATTCCACATGTGAAGCTGTTACATTTATTTGATATTGATTTTGTGATATATTTCTGGCAGTTATCGAGAAACAGCAGTTTTCTATAATAATAATAATAATAATAATAATAAATGACCAATGTCTTATCAATTTTATCTGAAACTAATGCATATCTTTAATAATTTATAACAATTTTTAAATGACCTTAAATGACTTTCATAATTTTGAATTTCTCAAAATTTTATAAAAAAATTTAGCACTTACGTTCATTAGCTGCGTCAATCCTAATCAACCCGGACATTATCACGGTAATAACAATCGTCAATGATACCCATATTGACTTTCTATAACCCATTTTCCATAAACCAATTATATTTTTTTTTTTTAAAAAAAAAAAACAATATAAAAGACAATAAAAGACCGAAAATTTATTAAATTTATTTGTTTTATAGTCTTAACAATATATTAATTATAGTGTTTTTAGATATAAATTATTATATATTCTCATTAATGCATGATAAAAATAAAAAGCGAGAAAAATTATATTTAAATAAGACTAGTAATTAATAAGAAGGTTTTTATTATTTTCTGATGCTTTAAAAAAAACTATATATTTCTGTTAAAAGCAACAAAAATGACTTAATATGACAACTAAATATAAACCGAATATTTTCGTGAGAAACTTTTAAGGCTGTTACATAGAATAAAAATTTTTGACAAATTGGATACTTAAAATTCCATTGAATCCAAAAAAACTATTCTCTAACCAACATTATTTTTTATTCATGAAATAATTGTTTTTTTTAAAGAAAGGAAAAATCTTTCCTTTTACGAGATTATAATGATTGAATTTGGTGTTCTAGTGTTTTAAAATGAAATTGGATAAATTGTACATCCAAACTCGACTTGTTAAATAAAGGAATTAATATTTGTTACACTTACTTAAAAAGTCAAATGAGATGTTACAATTTGAAGATCGTACTAAAAGACCAATCAAATATAAAGCACTGTTACTATGGCATTTTATAAATAAAGTTTAAATTAATACTAATAATATAAATAAATAGAAATTTAATATACTGTAATTAGTAATTGCTAAAAGTATATCAATGTATAAAAAAGAGATAGATAATTACATAATAAACTTCGGTCAAGTTTTTAAATTAAGTTAAATTAAAAATAATAAGATAAAAATAAAAAAAATGGTAAAAATAAAAAAAAAATAAAGTATAAAAAGTGATAAAAATAATGATTATGCAATACCTCACGATATTTCTTTAAATCCACAATTTAGGCAACGAATTGAATTATAATCAATTGTCAAAAATTGATTATTTTGGCATGTAAAACAAAAAATATTTTCTAACCGATTCAAGTCATTTTTTTGTTGATAATTATTTGTATCTTTCTCGTTATCTATTTCCATTGAATAGGATTGTTGATAGTCTTGATAGACTAATGATGATGTATAATCTTCATTGTATTCTTTATATTCATTGTATTCGTTATATTCATTATATTCGTTATATTCATTATATTCGTTATCCCGAATTGCGAATTCGGCTTCGGCTTCGAGTGCAGAATCTATAATTTATTTATAATTTATAATTAATATTTATTATAATAATAATTAGCCATCATTAATCATGATTTGATTAATTATAATTTAAAAATACCTCGCATAATTTCTTGAAATAATTCTTCCTCTATACTAATACCTTCATTGATATCAGAAATTATATTTAATTCTTCGTCGTTCCAAAAATTTGTCCATTCGTTAACTATCCATTTTTTCAACTCCTTAGTAATAAAAATGAGAAAAAAACATCATTATGTAAATAGTTATAATTCTATATATAGTAGATCCAGTTATTCAGTTATTTTTAACCTGTACCTTTTCGTCGTCGATGAACACTTCAAATTCTTTTTCCGCACTACTTGATATTTTCCAAAAATCAAGTCTTCGATTATTAATTGCTAAATCTCGGTTTGCTTTAGCTCGTTTTAAGCAGCGTTCTCTGAATTTATCTCGCCATATAGTTTGCGTTTCGGTTTTTATAAAAGTTCGATGAGGTCGTTTTTCCATTTTTTTATATGGTAGAGAAATTTTTATTTGAAGTATTAAAAACTCAGATGGCTTCATGTGATTCCCTGCATAATTCTGGTTAGAGCATGCAAAAACTGGGCATTTAATCTACATCATGTGAGATTTATTATTTCAATCAAAGAGAATAAATTTTATGATTGTAATAATTTTATATAGTGGCAGGTCTGTCCTAAATAAGCAAGGTCTCACTTTAGCAAAAAAAGAACAGAATTTTATATTTTAGAATTTGTTCTGACAGTAAAAAATCACTACTTACTTTATATTGTGATCTACTTACCTGATAGAAAGCTTTTTATTAAATTTGAAAACTTGTGTAAATTATTATTTTTTGGGATTTTTAGATATCTTGAAGTATTAATTGAGATATGATTATTTGTAGAAGGTGTCACATTTGAAAGTAGAAAATTTTGCATTTGTTTGTACCTGTGTTTGTTTTTATATAAATCACATAATATAGATAATAGAAATTACATTAAATTCATATTTGTATCATAGTTTCAAAAAGAATCAAGATATATATTAAGGTTTGTTTTCACATTTGGTTACAAAAAAAAAGTATTCAAAATTTATAACAAATATACAAAACTAGAATATAGTAGAGAATTACTTCTATATTATATAAATGAATCAATTCATATTCAAATTTGAGAATGAGGCATGAAGTATTAAAATAGTATTTATAATTTGATTTTACATAATGCATTTAAAGATGAGATATAAAATTCTAAATTGTTAATAACACAGGACACAATATGGAAGTGGAAATTTTGAAACAAAATACACATGCACCACATTAGTATACTGGTCTTGTTAGAAGCTCAAATCCATATTCAATTTTGAGTTAAATTTATAAATCTTACCTCTGATATGCATTTTATGTTTTGATCATCACTTAAATAACAAACATTTTACTTTTGCCTCATCATTATTAATATTTTTTAATTAGATTTATTTTATGATACTCTGCTTACTATTAAAAAATAAAGAGAAATAGTGAAGGGATATAAATATAATGAATATCCCTAATCCTTCTCTAACATGTAACAAGCTAAAATACATAATATTTTACTAAATCTAACCTTTTGATATCATAAGTCTAACCTCACAAAGGTTAGATTTATATTTAAACCATATATAATATCAATATATTTTGTTCTAATTTTCTCATACCATATATAAGCTTTAATTTTTCTTAGAAAGTTTTTTAGAATAGTAAAAAAATAAATCTAACTCTTTGATATTGAAAATTGTCCTTGGTTTTAATGCTCTAGATCAAGTTCCAGATATACAAAATAAATCTAATTTTAAATCAAACCTCTTGATATCAAAATTGTCCTTGGTATTTAGTATAGAATATTAATTTAATTTATTTTTATTATATTATTTCTTAATGTATTTATTATTTATTTGTAATTTATATAAATCAAAGATCATATACACTAGTCAAAAATTGATAAATTATACACATATCAGATATCTGATATGTGCATGGTACGTCCCTAATATACGTGTTGTCCAAATTACTAGTATTTGGGATTTGGGATTTGGGATTTCAGCAAAAAATACTAATCATAATTTAGGATTTGGGATTTGGAATTTCGGCATTTAGGATTTTGACATTTGGATTTTGAATTTGGGTGGCAGGTATAGTCCCTAATAAGCAGCATATATTGGGTACCTGATAGGTATAGAAAATATTTTATATACCGTATCTTACCGTGAATAAACACCTCTCGTGAATAAGCACCATATGTAATTTAAAATATAATTTATATAGTATCAATGTCAAAATCGTAAATAAGTATCACTTTCATTTTTATTATTATAATAAATTTTTAGAATAAGTATCACCTGTAATTTATTATTATTATTATTAAAAATAAATTTTTTAATCACTTAATATATTATTTTCATTATCTTCAATATCTGAATCATATGCTGATATATCATCTTTTAAAATTACTTCACGATCATAATTTGCTTTATAATTATTCTCACCATCAGATTCATATATCATATGATCTTCCATTCTATCCATTGAATTCGAAATATCACATTTTTTAAATGATTTAATAACTATCTCTTTTGGTATAGAATCTCATGCTTCTAAAATCTAATTACAAATAACATTATAACCAGGTTTTTTAATGTTATCACCTTTGGTTAAATCAAAATTTCCAACTGCCATCCATTGACACTATTTTACACGAAGACGATCTTTAAAAGGTTTGTTTAAACAAATATCTAATAGTTGTATCACTGATATAAGCCCACCAGGAATTACAGCTAAATTACTATTTTCATCTTTAAATGCAAATTTTACTTGTGGAGTTTTATATACTTCAAAAGAATTCAAAATCAATAATGATTTTTTCTTTAATAACCCACTAGATCAGTTTTTCCAAATTTCTTCTAACCATATTTTCATTAAATTCTCATCAATCTAAATTTTTTCATGCATTTTTACTATGATTTCAGATGATAAATTTGGTGGAAGAAGTTTTCCTTTAAAAATTACTATTGGAGGAAGTTTTGTACATCAGGAAATTTTTCAGGTGTAAATTTCCGTGGGTCCTGTTTGTATTACAGAAATTTACACCCCAAAAAATTTCTTGATGCTACTATTAGCAAGAACTGTCAAAACACATATAAAGCTATAAAAATATTAAAATTATTAAAAATAATATAAATTTTATAAAATGAATAAAATAAAATAAAAATTTTAATACCGATTTTTATCATTTCCTGTAATTTGAATTTTAACCGTTTTTGATCCTTTTACTTCAATAGTAGTATTTCCTACCATATCAAAAAATACTGGTGTTTCATCTATATTTCCTATTTGATTCAGTTCATAACACAGGTCAAAATTCAAATATCAGGCATTTATTGGACACCTATCGGGTGTCCGATATATTTATAATATTGGGCACCTATCGGACATCCGATATGATTGATTATTACTAATTACCCAATAATTAATTTTGTAAATTTTATCATGCGCCCGATATAATAGTGATAGGTGTGAGATAATTTTATTATTATCTCAGGTTCCCGATATTGTCTTGAATATCGGGTGCATGATACTAAAATAGTAATATCAGGTAGATGATATTCTAATTATTTTATTCAAGTACACAATATTATTATATGCTCATTGTATTAGATAATCTCTTTATTATTTATTATTAAATAAAATAAATTAAACAT